ATCTATAAGTTTTATATGTGTGTAAAATCAGTCTGATTGTGTCTCAGACACATGGAGCTGATGTTGGCTCGCACTGAGAGAGCGTCTGGTTTTACAAACCTGCTCCTATCGCACACCCACAGCCATGTTTTCATCACTTCAGAGTACATTGCATTAACCAGCATCCATGTCCTGTGACCTCAAACTAAGATTTGTCCTTTTGTATTTTTCTCCCTTAAAGGAGGTCAAATCCCCACAACGTGACAGAGCAAACATAATTATGTCCCACATTCAGACAGACAGAGTGCTTGTTGCCCTTTTGAGCCACAGCGGAAGTCGACTGTCTGAGAGGAAATCAATGTGTTGCCAGAGGCAACCGTCACATTGACCTATAGCAACAATACCTCCTGTTTATTATACAGTTTTCGACAGACTGTGAGCAGGTTCATGCCAGTTGAGGAAATAATAGGATCAGGAGAGAAGAAACAAGTGGGAGGACTGGGAGCATTAGGAGTGTAATAACGATGTGACTAATAATCACTACTGTCATCATATGAAAAAGATATTAATATTAAAATATTTAAATCCTGCCCACCAGAGAGAAACGGTGCATGGCTCCATTTACCCTGTAATGTGTAAAGATGGTGCTAGAAATGATGAACAACACTAGAGAGCTGAGGTTTCCATGAAAAGCTGGTCGTGGTTTTTGGCGGTGGAATCGGTCATAAAGCGAGTGTTACTGTGACTTGGTTTCTACCAAAATGATGCAGCCATCAATGCTTTGTATGGAAGAAACCAGCTTGCAAACACTTTTCAAAAAGTGTGAAGTAAACCAGATAAAGAGAAGGCTTTCCTCCAACGTTTGACTTTCTGCTGGAATCAACATGTAAGGCAAATGTTTTCCACATCCAGTAAGCCTTGAGTTTTTCAGTTTCACTACCTCTTGGTGAAAAGTTTGCAAGTGTGTACAGGCAACTCGGCATCTTCTGTGCAAACTACGGGGGACCGCGACAACCTGCCATTGACCAAAGCAATCATAAGGAGGTTTCTGGTGTCACACCGTATCCCTCTTTGCTACTATTTAATGCTAGCAGCTACCAACAATCTTCACCACTCATTAGCCAGCTGTAGAATACCGCACGACTCTTGGTTATCAGCGGGTCACAAGCTATTCTCTAAGCCTATAAGACCAAGACTTGAGTAGGTTATTAACACATGG